TTTTATCAAATAGAACTCCTAATTATATAACAAAATGATTTATTATCTGTTCATATACGCTTCAGCATAATTTGGATTTAATAGGATGGCCATATTGTAGTCTTGGAGTGATTTTTCATTTTCTCCTTTTTTATAAAATACATTTCTTAATTATTTGACAAAATGATTTACCTCTGTTTAGAAGCACAGTAGCATCAAATTCAGACATAAATAATTAATGCATTTTTTATAACTTTTTTTAATATATTATGAAAACATTCACCCTCTTAATTAATAATATGTTTTATTTCTATCTAAAAAATTAATTCATATACCCATTAAAATGGTCATTATAAATATTAACAAAAATAGACTTTGTAATTTAAACCTCAATATTATTAAACTCTAATTTGAAGCTATGCAGATTTATTTTATAAATTAACATTTCATATATTAATACATTCGAGATTTTTTTAGTTCATGTGAGAAACAATTATAAATAATGATTTTTTGCTTTTATTAATTTTAAATAACTATTTGAGATGTTTGCTTTTTAAATATTACTTTTAATTAGAAAGCTTCTCATAGAATTAATCAATTAATAAAAACATATATTCTTAAAAGGTATATAATTTACCATTTTACACAATTACTTAAAAAAGTATCTGGATAAAAAAGTATTTTTTCAATTATTTCTAGTTATCACAAACAAAGTACAAAAAGTATAATTACTAATTAATTCAGAATAAATTAATATAATAAAAAGTAGGGGTATTTAAAAGATAAAAACAGTGATAACTAAACAAATTGATTCTCAAAAAAAAATAAAATCATTTAATTAGTTATTAAAAATTAGAGATAATACTTAAATTAAATTCAAAACTAGAGGCTTTTGATTATTTATATGAATGGTAACTATTAAGTCTATAATTATGCAAAATTAGTCGAAGCATCTACCAATATGAATTTACAGAAGTTAAGGAAATACAGAAAAAATACAATCAATTAGAATATTAATTAGCAGTATAGATTATAAATTTTTAGATTTTAAGTAATGTTGCCTGCAATTTGGAATTAAAGCAAAATTAGGATTAAATATTCGAATGAACTTAATAAGAATTTCTTTCAAAAAGCTTATGGTTTGTTAGAGAATACTTTTAAAGAACATAGTGCTAATCTGATGTGATGGCATAAATTTGAATTACAAATTAATATTTATTTCTTAAGTTTAGATATATATGTATGATCATTATTAATAATGAATTCAAGCAGGGAAATTTTTAAAATACATTGTTATTTCTAAATTTAGAATTTATTATTATTTTCCACAAAAAAACAATAACTTTATAATTGATATATTGTTACTATCCTTGTTTTTCAATTATTTAAGCTATTTATAAAATTAGTAATCAAGGCTAGATTTTTTTTTTATTTTATAATAACTTATTATTATAAATAGCACAAGAACAATTATTAATGTTCTAACTTTGGATTGAGTATAGAATATAAATTTATAAATTTATATAACTTATGTTAATGACTCAAATTATCAATTTATTATATAGTTTATTAGGTTAAATTAAGATGGATGGATTTCTTTTTCATATTTATACTAATTAATAATTAATTAATAAATATATTAACTAATCTCAAATAATTTCTTAGTAACAGAATCTTATTTTTGATATTCTTTAATGGTAACTGAAGTAGATATCTAAAATCTAATGAGATGGTAATTTATTATCAGTGGAATTTCTTCCTCTGAAGAATATTCAAAAAAATTGAAATAATTATAGTTTCGCTCCCTGTAGTTTTAGAAGCAGAGCTGTTCAAAAAGCATAAAGATATTTCAAAAAAAAAATAAAATAAACTTATATTTCATATACTTCTGTTTTATTCTTAAATAGGGTACTAATGATTCAATAAAGCATAAATTAGTATACTACTTCTATAAACAAGCAGTTTAGCTTTGATTAACAATTAGCATCACCAATATATTCAACATAAGGATTTACTTTCTTAAGAAAATCAATGATTATTTGCAATTAATTAGCATATCTTCAAGAAATTAGTGGGATCCGAATATTTTTGATAATAAATTTGAATATCCTAGAATCTGCTTTTTAAAGCATATAATATAATAAAGCTTCATTTGTTTTTTTCACATTATCAGACTAACCATCTTTACTAAAATATCTTACCACTTAATTATCCATCCACTATTTTGAGTACTGTAATTATTAATGCAATTTTTATGGAACTCGCTTGAATTCTTAAGGAATATTACATTTACAAAAATAAATACATTAGGAATTATATTTTTTAGTGTGAATCTCTTCAATTTATTTCATTACAATCTATGAAAAATCCAAATACTTACTTTAGTATAGATATATTGTTTATATACAACTCTTTAGAGATTACTATCATATTTATAATATTCTAAGGAAGAAATGAGAAACTTAAAAATAAAAATTCAAGATTGCTATCATAAGATTCTGGGTAATTGATGATGTAAAAACTAAATAAATATGCTCTTTAGATAACAGATTGAAAACTTATTGAGTAAATAAATTATTTTATGATGGTTATTCAAATATCTAAAATATTATTTCTGCTTGATGTTACCAAGTAAATTGTAGGTTTTTTCCAAATCCATCTGCAAAAAAATTAAAAAAAACTTAGAAGTTAAAAAAATAATGATTTGAAAATTGCTTTTATGATAGGCATCACTATAGTCATTTATGATTAATAAAATTAAATATGTATTGCCAAAACAGAGAATATGTGTTATCCTGATTTCAATAATTTATATACCTGAGAATAGTTTAAGGAATTTATTAGTTAGAAATCGAGTAATTTTTTTTTCATCAAATTATTCTATAGTAATCATTATTTTTCTGGTGTTTTAAGCCAACTGAAAATTGTAAAAAAAATTATAATAAATTTCAAATCATTACTAAAATTAAATTGCAAGTGAAAAAAAATAACAATGAAAGAAGGAACATCTAGAATTCGATTATGTTGGCTTCTCCTATGCATTTTCCAACCCAAGGACAATGATGATCATAACCTCTAACACAAATATCACATTTAGAGCAATGATAAGTTCCCTATTCTTTTATAAGTGTGCACAGTTAGCAGGATTCTAAAATATCAAATTAATTAAAAAAAATTGATACTCTCACTTTTTGCCACATAATTTAATTTAAATTTAACTCCAGGATTTTTGAGAAAAACTCTGAGAAAGCATACTTCCAACATTAAGCCATTCATTATGGATCCTAAGCTATACCATATATAACTAATTTAAGGCGAATTATAGAGCTAATAAAATAAGTTCCAACTATTATAGAAATAATCGCGCAAAGACTCAAAGACCCTACATATATAAATGAATTACAGTGAAGACCTATTGTAAATCATGGCTGGCCATTATAAAATCTAAACATGCAGTTGTTTCCATAATGAGGTTTGAAAGATTGATCATTTTCTTATTCAAGTACACCTGTTGTCTCTTCTTACTATATTTAATTTGAATCATCTTGATAGAAAGCATCTAATTATTTCATCTCTTTAGGATTTTATAATAATTAGAATAAAAAATTTTAATCGTATATTGAATTTTTAAGTTAAGAAATAATTACGTTTGATTTTTGTATTATATTATTATGTTAATTTTTTAAAGGTTCATTTATTTTTCCGAAATCATCATAATATTAATCATTAATTGAATATCTTTTTAAAATTTTTTTATTTATTATACTTTTTTTTTCAACTAATAATCTCTTATTTTATACCTAATTAAGCTTTGTTGTGAAAGTAAAATAGACTTTACTTGAAAAATACTTTCTTAAGGATTATCTGTTGGAAGGGATATATAATAGAAAAAAAAAAATTCTTTATATAATTTGAGACTCTTGTTGTTTCTAAAAAAAATTTACAAGACCTACTAAGTGCATAAAATAAGTAGCTGCCTACAAACATCTAATTCTCTGATAGAGTGAAATCTTCTACAGCTTTTCAACCTCACTCGTTTTTCATTATAAACAAGTGTAGTGAGCCATTATATCATTAGTGTTAGATTAAACTTCCATTAAAATGAGCTTAATAATATTGGTTCATATTTGAAATTTTTCAAATTTCAATCCTTTTTAAGAGAATAGCATATATTTAAGTAAGTTTACAATATATTTTTGAGTTTGGAGCAATTATAATCATAAGGCACAATGTAAGTTGATAGGAGTTCATCACAACTTCATTAAATATAAATATAATTATTTAATGAAGTGAAATTCAATTATCTTAATAATATTAACTTTAAAGTTTATTCTAATGTTATGTTGCTATTAATTAGAATGATTAAATAATTTACACAATTATTCGAAATTAATAATAATACATATTTTCTCTGATTATCATACTATTTTAATTATTAAACATGATTCCTTGTATATTATAAAATGCCTCATAGGTTCTTTGCAAAAGAAATTATCAATTAATCGATTCAAATTTAATAAGCTGAGGATATTTGAATGCCCATTTCTTATAGCTAGATGGGTTTATAATTAAGAAATGAGCTTTGATTCTTAAAAAATATGCCAATGTATTTCTGACTTAATAAGGGATGAATTTAAATATCTCTAATAAGTAAAAAAATTGCTTACAGTTTGTTAAATTTCATGATTCAGCTTCAACAAGCAGAGAGATATACTGAAACAAATTTGGTGAAGTTCCTTGCCCTTCGAACTCTTTCTTTTTTTTCCTTTGGTTCTATAGGGATCTCGATCATCTTCTTAAGACTTGATGTTAACAGACTGAATCGGTAATGGCTTAGGAAGCCTTTACTTCCCTCGAGTCCGAAAAGATAAAAATAATAATCCACTTTATAACTATTTTTAATATTATTTCGGAAAGTTCTAATTATGGTTACTTTCTGAAATGCCTAGATTGATTACTCTTTTAATCTCTTAGGTTTTCTTTAATATTCCCACTAATATTAATTTAATTCAAGAAATTTGAAATATTCTATTCTTAGATTATAGTTGAAATAATTCTTAATTTATTTGATTTGCGAGGTAGACTATTATCTTTTTATATTGACCATAAGATTAAATTTATTTGCAGCTTCTTTTAAGATTCTAGCATAAGTAGTACAATCTTGGATTAGAAATCAGGGTAAGATCTTCACCATCTCCTAAGACTTTAATATTATAGATTTTAGGTAAATTAGATATTAGATGGAAAGAATATTAGAAATGTATAAATAATCAGATTTAGATATCCTTTAGGATTATTTGGATATAACTGATCAAAAATTGGTTTCAAGTTTTAAAAACTAAGTAAGTACTTATGTAAGGAGAATTATTTTAAATTAAAAAAAATTTGAACTTCAACTACATAAAAATGAATTTATTTCAAGTAGATATACTATGTTAATGGAATAGTATTCGAATTTATCCTTAACATACCACTGGAAACTATCTAGATTAACTTAAACTTCTTTCAAAAATACTTAAATAATGTTAATCTAACATAAGCTATTATTAATTCCATTTATTCCTAAAAAACAAACGCAGATAGAATTAATAAAATTCAGATTAATAATACTCCAAGTTAGATTGGATTTTTATTAATTTTATTAGAGTTTATTCATGATAAAAACGAAAGATACTATCATTATCGTATTATTTCTAAATAAAAATGCTTTGCAAAAAACTTAATTTAAATTTATATAATTTCAATTCTGGTTTATTCTAGGATATTACAAATCTTCAAATTTTTATTAAACTGTTTAAAACTAAGAGAATTAGTCAAAGTAAATAATTATGAAAGTTATATTCTTTCATCATTTGTATCATTTGAAAATATATCAATTATAATTCATAATTAAGATAGTTTATTAATTCTAAATTCTAACTAAAAACAACATATTATGTGAAAAATCATTTTAATAAAGTATTAATTATTCATATTTATTAAGAAACTTAAAAGAAATATTCGTTTATTTTCAGTGATACACAAACCATAAAATTATCAATAGTATGCTTTAATATCATGATAAAGTCTTTCAGCTAAGTTAGATTTATAATATCTGGGATAATGCAATATGCATAAACTACTTTGGTATCGGATTAGAAATCTTGTCTATCAAGTTAACTTTTGACCATTTTTCCTTATTTACATGTAATTAAAAACTAAAAGAATTTTATGGATT